GGTTCACAGCAGAGTTTTCATCTTTCTGTGGTCGGCCGATAGACATAACCTCTTCAACAATGGACTTTGCAATATGTGTTACAACTATAGGCGTCTAACCAATGAGCAGTTGAAATTTGAGTGTGAGATAATATGTAGATAACATGCAGGTTTACGCACCAAAACACACCCACACGATGCTACTAAGGAGGCTTGCTCATTAACCATTTGAAAAGTAGCATGGAGTTCGCTGACCACGTGCGTGGTCAAGACATTGATACAAGCGTTTTGTTGCCTCAGGCCATGAACAGCGAATTCTCGTGAACTTGGCCTTCTTGCTCCTCGTTCGCCAGTAATAAAATGCATGCTTTGTATCAGTTATGAGAAACACCTGAAATAATCTTGCGTGCGAACACCCATAGATCAGTGTGTGTGTGTGTGTGTATGTGTGTGTGTGTGTGGAGTAAACAAGGTGATCAATATTGCGTATCTGACTAGCATGCTGATGTGCAGATTCCCAGTAATGTTCTGAAATCCCTTTGTCTAACATATTGAGTACTCTGCGTGTTTACTACTAGCTGGACGCCGACAACTGTGTACTTACTTATCTACATCGCATCGTTCTTGCGTGTCCATCATTGTAATAGATTCGAGCATTCTCACTGTTGCGGTTGAGCGCTAATACCCATCCGCCTCCATTACAGTAACTGCGTATTTGGGTGAATAATTCACGGGGACAAGAGACTTGCAAGATGAGTCCGATTTAATGTATAGTGGAAATGCTCAGCGAGATTATTCGTGCATATGTAGAGAAATACTAACCACTGAGACAAAGTTAAGCCGAGTAGCACAATATATAAATGAGGGCGATACGAAAGCTTGTAAGCCTTAACCATAGCGGTAGGTTCTCACAACATGTCATCCGGCCTAGCGACACGTTTACAGGCAGGCAGTGCGCAACTGGCACTGCAGTACATACCTTGTGCTGGTGACTCTAAACAACTCTAATTGGTTTCGCAGTTGATCGCGCAACACCGGGGTCATATTTCAGATTTCGCAATCCTGTGCCGTTCATCTGGTTTCCCATTACTAAAAAGCGCAAGCCCAAGTACAAAGTCGTAGCAGTGACCAACAATGCTGTGAGGAAAGTTGGATAATCAACCGAATGATGGTGAACAGCCTCGATGGTCGTGGAGTTTATTGTAAACATGTTCGAACAATGGGAAGGTTGCGGAGCCATCGTGACGGTAGTACAATGGTGGAGTACAGCGATATAAACACAAAAATCACTAACCATATCATGATTGGTTGATGAGACCATTCGGCTCATGAGGATTAATCCCTCTGCCTGATTCGTCTCCTTCGTAGCCGGTGGTTGGAATTCGTGACACACTCATTGATCAACCGGAGTGGGAGTATGATCGGTTAACTCATCACGCCTGTGACTACCCGGACCAATCAAATGGCTGCGCTGGGATGAACATGTGCTCCAGCTCTGCTGGCTTATATGAAGCCGCAGACCGCACGGATGGGAGCAATGAGGATTCATTACAATCTTCCACATAGGCAGTCATGCACTCGAGAGGAATATTGCGTCGCCTGCTTGGTGCAATGACGGACCCAATTCGGCATGCGGAGGAATTACGAGTGAGTCCAAGAGTAAAAATTGATGAGAAGATGACTAACAGTGCGGTGTCTTTCGCCTCACTGGACGTAGTTTTACTAAACCTAATACTGGGATGTAGGCCATGTTTGAAATTGGTTTCCTCGTATGGAAGGCCAGCATTTTGGGTAATTGTATATTTTTCAACATCAATTTCACAACGGACGTCCGTCAATATTTCGATGATGCTTAATAACGTGGCTTATGCACTCGCATTCTAATGATTTGTGCCTTCGCTCACAATCCTCGGTCGCTTTCGCTATTAGGTTACCTTTTAGATTACAACACTTTTCATGCATACATGTGGATAGAAATGGGTCATTCCAAAGGCACTATTCTCCGTTTCATTACGGATGCATTTGGAATACGTGTGAACCATCGGTGATGTGATGCTCATTCTATGATCTTATCCAAGTATTGCTGGGCTATCAGTACATGTGTATAGCTGTTGTTTGGGCCCCCATGTCTGCGCATGACGTACCGTGATCCAGGAAGTTGGTGGAGAACAAGTTCTCGGTGCTGTTGCTGTCCTGCGAGTAGTCGAACCACAAACAATCTTCGTGATTGCGGTGGGTGATCCTTTGATCTACTGATACTAATGCACATGACTGACCGTAAGGTGATTGAAACTAACGATTTGGAGTTTATCGATATCTATGTATTATTCGGTAAGCACTTACCTGTGTGTGTGTTTGTGTATATGCATGTGTGCCGTTTATATCACTGCTAATTCCGCTGTTGAAGTAGTCTTGATGGTTTCCACCTTGATCGATTTCAGTTGCATAGGATGAAAATGAAGCGGAAGCGAGGGCAACGCTTTGCAACCAACCTGCGTGAATTAGTACAGGAGCTTTTAGAAGAAGAAGAAGAAGAAGAAGAAGTGAGTTTCCGTAACGGTCTCTTTATTTCCGTGTGCGTTAATCCACCATATAACACTTTGCTGACTGTCACTTGGGAAATCTTCTCAACGTGTTCATTCAACCCCATTTCTCATTGACTTTGTAGCATAGAGTGGCTCGTGAGGAAGAACATTCGGATATCTCAGACGACGGTTACACTGTGCTCGGAAGTGTTGCATCGTCGAATGACAACCGACGTGGTAAGTGATGCTTGACATACTCTGCATTGGTTGTAAGTTTCGCAGTTCAACTGAGCAGGGATCAGCTTGTGTTGTAGTTCAGGGTAGAAGATCTTCGTAACTAGTTCTTTGGCACTGATTCCGTTATCCGGACGAAACACATAATGCATTGTCGGTGATTAAGCTTTGGTTTAACGAGAATGAATTCCAGTGTGTGATTACCGATGTTGTTGTGACATGTTGGGGTTAACCATTTTCACTAGTGATGAGGCCACTGTTGCACACTGCATTTGGTGTGTGTCGAAAATAGGTGTTCCGATTCGTACGAATCATAAAGCCGGTTGAAATGGGCTGCAGAATGCTGGAATGCGTTGGATGTGTACCCGAGGTGCTGTGGTAGTCACCCATCACATAACTGGTCATTGGATTTTCAAGCAGTACGATGATGCATTTGACCGAATTCTCTACGACGGCTTCCACGTGTGATGGAAGAGTAGCGGAAAGCATCAATCGGTCCATGTCGGTAAAATGTGTGCCACTGCATTTGAAATGCAAAGTTCAGATGTCATTGGAGTCGATGGTGGAGATCTAGTGATACTTGGTGCCGAATATCCTCCACCTTCATGTAGGTAGGTACCAGTCGACAAGCTTCTCCTCTGTAGAAGTTCACGACTGCTTCCTCTTCTTCGTTTCCCCCCCCCCCTATGAACCGCTAGGAAACATTTTTTTTAATTATCGAGAGGCTTGTTGTGTTGTACTCCAAATGAGAAGTTGGGGTCCAGGGGATTGTAAGTAGCATGGGAGTAGAGGTCCACGCTACAGTCTCGTGTTCGAATACATGATTCACACCCAGTGAGATTGCCTTTCTTGCTCACTGGTTGGCCTCTGAGGCGCAAGCTCGAATCCCGTCAATTGACTAAAATATGTCCACTTCATCACATTGCCCCAATGGTCTCGATCATGCCAAACCTGGAGTTCGCGTTCTGCGTTGTGTTTCTAATCATGGATCATTTTCATTTCAGAGCTCAAATCGTGACTGAAGGGGCCAGATGAGGTGTATGTGGTGCACTACAATGAGAATAGTGATCAATTACCCATTGCTTGCGACAACCAGCACCAGCAATTGGAGGTGGGATGTCATTCGACTCGAATGGACGGTCCAATCATGCCCTCTTTCAACAGCGCTTTCAATACATTTGTCTCGAAACGGACTCAAATGAACAGCCGAATGACACCAGGGAATGAACCAACGTCAGGGCTCGATTCGGAGCAGTTTGACGTCCCTTCGCAGCAGACATCCATGTCGGTGGTGCATGAGACCTGTTCCCAGTTACCGAAGCCGACTCAGTCACAACACATCCGGCTTGAGCCCATCTGCGTTGAGAGCCATGCTACCACCATCCTCAGCTTTGATGAGGTCGACTCTTCAATATGTATGAGATGGATTCACTGCCACCATTGCTCGTTGGGCGGATCATCATGGATGCATTTTATCAACACATCAAGGATCTGGATGCGGTATTTGGACCAAGCCACTCTGACAAATCTGAGACTATTCTAACTTAGCAAGTGTGACGAACTGATGTGATGTTTTCAAAATCATTTCCCTTTCGAATTCTTGCCAATTAACTTGTTTCCGACATTTCCCGTAATGTCCAGAATATTGCAATGTATTGCTCCATGTGATTTGCTTTCTCGAATGAAATTACCCACAATCCTTCTTACCTCTGTGCTCATTCGGGGAGACAATGAGATGGGGTGACGTGTTAATGGTGCATTCATTTCACTTGTGGTGTAGTTGTTACTGATTGGCCAGCTACTGATTAAGCATGCGGCTCTGTGCACCTATGGGCTCACGCCATACATGGCAACCTCATGAATTATGTGGTGCATAGTGCATGAGATGATGGATATCAGAGAGTGCAGTAGGTGTTACCTTTCGCACGTGATTGTGGTGGGTATGTTTGTGCGCTGACGCTGTTTGATGGAATGAGGTTGCGTTAGCATGGTTGATCAAGTATGGATATGCGATCGCTTACAATGTTACGGTGGGATGATGTGGGGGTCGACCGAACATATTATGTAGACATTTAAGGAAACGGCGTGATTCACGTGTCCGGAAGCAATTTCCAAGGAGGATGATTGCTTGTGGCCAGCTATCGTTGATTCAGTTATTTACCTAGAGCCACCGAATTTAATCTGACCTAGTACACGCATTTCACATTTGACGGAATTGGTTTAAAGTAGATGTTGACCGATCCGCATGAAGGCGTCTCGGCACAGCTAACATATGTGGTAAACAGTGCATCTGATTTCAGATTCAAAACTGAAGCACCCTGTTAAGGCCGCAATAGCGTGGCTACTGACAATCATACAGCCTATCTACTCGCCATGTCCTGATGTGATCAGTAAATCCCACGAAGTCAACATCACCAACACGTTGCTCGGTGTCGCCAAGGAAGTTTGGAAATAAACGTGCCTGCTACCCTGAGTTATGCTGTGCACCAAATTCGACTTGGATGCGATGTGACGGAGAGCGCTGAACTCCGACACGAACTCACCTGCGCTTTTATATTCTACTATTCCTCATGTCGTATTTTTTGACACTGGAGACACGATCGGTTGAAGTAAACGCTCGATTGCTTTCGACGAATTGAAGTAGGGCATTCACAGCAACCGCATCTGCAACCTCAGTCGAATCAGTCCGACATCACTGTTGTAGCAGGAATCGGGTGGCGCACGATGGCTGTCCATGAAAGCGGTGCAGTTGGAGAGTCAGAATGGAAAGTGTCCGCACCCAGAATGACAACCGCCTGAGTACGTCCCTGTGGAAACTCGAGTGGAGTGGAATCCCGTGAGTAAGCGTTGCACACTCATTTCCATCGAATATGTGCAACGTGTGTAGCAATAGATGACGTAGCGCGCTGCAATGCACTTTTGCGTCAGACGTCTATGTGTCTGTTTGGAGTAATATCGAGCACACTTGCTGGTTGATTCCCTGAATGCCAGCTCTGTATTCATACCATTGCACACAGGAAATTGTGTCGATTGGGTCGAGATCGTCGAAAGTCTATCCATGCGAACCGTGTTTGCACCTACATTGCGCGACAGAATAGCTTGTCGAACTTGGTTAATCATACGCGGCATTTCCACAGAGTGTTTTCTGCCGAAACCAAACTGCATGGTTCTCTTTCAAGTGTGCATATCTGGGGGTTATTGGAAATATCGTCATCGACAACATCGGGAAGTGACCGAGTCAATCGTGGGGGCAGACAAAGCTCATAGAACGAGTGTAGCTAATACGCATTCGGACGACCGCGCGTTACACGCCGACTGGAACACAGTGCGATGTGTATCTCGATGACAAATAAGTCCGGCTGTGCAACCAGACGAAAGTGGATCCGGATTTGAATCCCGTTGGTGTGCATCGGAAGATTGGGCAGGCTATGTTGTCATGACCAGAGCACATTGCTTCATCCGTGCGACGCAGATGCATTCGTACAATTGGCTAGATGTCTTTGGATGTGGACGGGTTCATGGATGATAATCCCTAGTCGTTTACTGAATATAGTAACTCTATATACTAACTCTATACACTAGTGCACACGGGATGCCAATGGTCTAATTGCAACATCCACTTGTATGTGTCCCATCCCTCGACCAAATCTTCGGACAAAATGTGCGCCAGATGAATAAGAGCCGTAGATATGCTGCTGAGAACTCGCCATCGTAACTTATCCGCGGTTTGCATTGGTTTGTATGGCTCAGGATCAGGGCCCCGTTACATCAAAAATGCTAGCTTTATAGCATACTCTAAGTGCATGCAGATTTGAACCTTGTCACCATATGTGATGCGAACACTGCATTCACTTGGTGCCAGATGTCCTGGAAGCCACAACGCTGGGGATGGATGTAAATTGCGGTTCAGAAATATGTGCAAGTTGTAAGTTGGAGTTGGTGAATCCGTTGTGTGGTTTGATTACTACAATCATTCTCCATTGAGACTTCGGTTCAATGGCATCCTCTCCCACCGTGGACGTTTTCAAAGAACGACTAGATATTGCTGTTAGCTCCCAACATTTTGTTACCTAAACTCCTCTATTGTGGATTACGCCAAGCACGATTTCAACAGGATTTATGTATCAAATGGACCTAAGTGAGCGACCATATTCAACTTTTCTCACTCCTTACCTCAACCATCACTGCACTCCAGTGTCTTTCTGTACGTTTACGCGCGATCATTTTTTCATTTAACACTGAGGTTAATTATCAATGTATTCATCTCGGAAGATGTACGATAGATGACCCAGACATATTTTAATTTCATCATATTCACCGCAACCATCCTACGGGACGTGTCAAACAGTTGCTTTCATCCCGTGATAAATCATTGTTCATTGCACTTGAGGTGCGCCTCAGTCAATCTGATCACAGGGACGGTAGGTGAAATGAAATCCCCGACTACCTGCATTTGGAAACCGGTAAAGATTGTTGAGGACACTGAGAGTTATTGGCAGAATGTTCGCTTGCTTTGTGTACCTTACCAGTGACTGCTTGCTCTGCTTGACATGAGATATCGCTGTTCGAATCAACGAGGAAGCACAATGCTTGAGTACAATGTCTCGTTAAGATGAGATGGTGTCAGCAAATGCTACAGCGTGTTACTCCGAGCTTAGGTGCATACGTAGATTCGACATCGTTCGTAGTGCATGGAGCCCCGAACAATTAGAATCTAATGTGACCTCGAGGACACAAAGTTAACCGAGGACCCTTAAGTCACCATGGAACATATGGTGTGTTACCACCCCACACATTCTAAGACACATACAAATCATTGCTCCCATTCTACCGGCTTTCGTCTTTCATTTTTTGTCAAGGTGAATTGACGCCGTGGTCTTTTCGTCTGAATTGAGAGCCGTCGCGTGCTGATCGCACAGATCCTGTTCTGCCACTCATTGTCAATTTGCAACAAGATTAACCAGGTTAGACCTGACAAACAACGCACAACATGGCTTTCTTACGAAACGATCCCGTGTGACCAGTCAAATACAATTCTTCCATCATGTAACATCGGTGGTTGACAGTGACATGGCAGTTATTGTCATCCTACAAGAGATGCACAAGGCCTTCCATTGTGTGCCACATAAAACTTTATTGTCCGTCCTGCGCTCTTACGGCTTCAGCAACGCATCGCTAATCTGGTTGAAATCCCACCTAGAAGGTCGGACACAGAGAATTAAAATAGACCAGCAACTCTCCTCCTCGGGAGGAGTTACAAGCGGAGTTGTCCAAGACACTCTTCCTGGGCCACCACTCTTCCTAATTTATATCCATACCATGTGATTTTACCAAACATGTCTGATCACACCACTTTGCGGACGACATAAAAATCGTGTACTCATTGCCACCAGATAGTGTTGAGTCGGGCCTTAAGAACACACATGAGGACTTATCTGCGCTAGACTCTTGGAGTAGAAATTGGTTTACGCAATCCTCCGATGAGAATTCGAAAGTGTTTAGGTGTGGATGCTGCCAATCTGATGACTGCATCACCCTAGTCAGTATAACCATCCCAAACTCCTCTTCAGTTTGGGGCCTTGGAGTAATACATTCTGCATCGCTTAACTCT